CAGACATCTGTAGAGCTGCGGGCTGGGCGACACCCAACACATTTGCAAGGTTTTACAATCTGCGAGTGGAGCCGGTTTCCTCAAGGGTATTAGGTAACCCTTTGGTGATTGAGGAGACAACTCGGTAGGGTGTTGAAACACGCTTGCGGCGCCATTCTCCCTAACACGGAGGTACGTGCGCCTTTTTTATCTGTCAGTAAAGTTCCCCGTCAGGTGAGCCCTGCAGATTCCTCCGTGGCCCCCAGCACTGACTCAGCGGAGGAGTCACTTGCTGGCCCACTACGTTGTAGGTCTGCCCGCTGGTCAGCCCGCGTTTTGGGTATAGGTGCCTGCTATGCGTGATCCCCACTAGGCGATCCCATATGCTTATTCCGCCACGGTTAAGTCCCCCCCCTGGGTGGACCCGTGTCTTCCCTCTCCGCTAACCACTCTTTTGCTATGCGTACTCCCCCTTTTTAGGGCTAGTCCATATGTAAATTCTGCCATCTATCCCCCCCTTGGGTAACGGATGGCCTCCGCAGCGTCCTCCCTATCGGGATTGCACGCTTCCCAACGTACTGTCGTATTTCCTAGAATTATCTAGATGCTCACGACTTCCCAAAAAATATATCTAAATCCGTAAAACTTCTGTTGAAGTAGGATAAATTAGGGCCAGGGACACGTTGGAGGACCGCGCCCCCCATGATGTGGGTGCGTCACGCTTGCTTGACTATCTCCTCATCGGGGGTGTTGGTAAGGTGCAGTCATTATGGCGCTTTCCATATTCTCCCATTCATGGCACTGAAGTTCCCCAACCGAAGGGGAACGTTCGAGGTTACAGAAGTAACCCTTCGTTCCCCGAGGAGGGGAACGGAAGTGCCATATTCCGTCGCCATAATGACTGTCCCTTAGCTGTTTGAAAGTCTCTTCAGCTTAAAAGGATGGCGTCTGCTGGCTTCAGGTGTGCTTATATGCTGAGATAATTGCAGATGTCGCACACCTGCGCAAGCTTACGCTGCCAATTAATTTCATTCATTGGCCCGTTCAATACTCTCCAGATAAGCGGCTTCTGATCCGAATCCTCCCATTCATGGCACTTCCGTTCCCCTCCTCGGGGAACGAAGGGTTACTTCTGTAACCTCGAACGTTTTGTTTTGTTAAATGTGGGGACATTCTTATTGGTTCCCATTGTTTTTATACTGTACAAACTGTATTGCACTGGCCTCCCCTATACATTATTTCTAAACCCAACCCTCACAGGTTTACTTAAAAAAAAAAAAAAAAACTCTTCTCAAAAACTCTTAAAAAAGAAATGAGCACATTAATATACTCGTAATTTACCATTGCCTTGTAATACCTGTTTAATACCTGTCATTATACACATTTGTGTCAAACACATGCGTGTAGATACACAATATAAAACAAAATGGGATCTGGAATTTCTGTTGAGTAAATTTTTCATCTAGAGTAATTTTTTTCCTGAAAAGTGGGTCCTATCAACCAGACAGCTTCTAGAAGCAGAAACACTCACGTATCTTCAACAGCCCATGGATTTAGCATGTCTCAGTAGCTTTGGCAGGCTCCCAAATCACGAAATCGCTCTCTTTAGTGTATTGGAGAATGAGTTACTGTTGTTTTTTATGTCACTTTTAAGCCAAGTGGCTATCTCTGCTCAAGGCTGCCATATTGCAGCAAAAAAAAAAAGAAAAAAACAACAACACCATGACAGAAGCAGATATATTAAAATTAAGGTACTGTCACAACATCTTGAGATAACCTGGAAAGAATTCATATCTATCACTATCCTCATCCTGCTTTGGATACCGAAGACTCCACTGCAATCCATCTACAGCAGTGGTTTCCAACCTTTTTTTGCCTGAGACCCTCTTTTCCTCAAGAAAATATTGTAAGCCCCCCCCCCTACAATTGATGATATTATCGTAAATAAGTTTGCAGTAGGTATGACAAAAAAAGTTTGTTCTCAAACAAAGGTATGTTTATTACTAGATCTAGATATGACATAAAATCCTAATGTAAGATATAAAAGCAAAACATCAGTAGGTCATTTGTATTGGGTGCACCTTGCGCTATTGGGGATGAGTCGTCTGCAAATGTCTTATTAATCTGGAAAGTCTCATGCACTTGTTAGCAATAACTTTGGCACAGATAATGCACAGTGGCTGGATCAAGGACTCTGCTTTGAAAAAATGGAATTAAACCATAGTTCAGGTAACTATCTTGGTATTTCTTGCATTTCGTGTTTTCAGTATTGCTAGTGCTGTGACCCAAATTGTTTGGAGCTTCCTCACATGGGTCCAGTATGCTTGGGTCATCATTACTTTTATATGCTGAAGGTGAATAAGTGATACTCTGTCTTTTTTGGGCAGGACGAATTACAAATTTGTCAATTTTTTGGTCACCCAGGGGATAAAATGAACTGAGGCAAAGCTGTTAATTTTGCAGGACAGATACAAGTTTGCATCCCTGCACTAATGAACAGATGATCATAAAAGATCACACTTTCAGTTTACTTAGTGTGTGCAGTTTATTATATACAACAAGTATGTAAGTATTGTTTACCACAGACTATTGTACTCATAAAAATAAAAGATACAGGAAAATCTTGAAGTAACCAGCAACAAACTCTTCCAGCACTCTGACAGCACTGCAAATTTCAATAGAAAAAAAAAAACACATTAAAGTCGCACTTACTGTTTACTGTTTAACTTCCATGTACGGGCATTGGTGTCTATTAAAATACACACTATCATTTAATTTGACTTCACTTTTAGGCTCTATGTAGACACCGAACAAGCCTAATTTACAAGAAAAAGTGTCTTTTCAACACTCACAACGCCTGTTGTTGGGCTTGATTTAACTGTTTCTCCTTGCTGTGAGTGGTCATGCATTGGTAATAGTATGAACCATTGTGTGTGTGTATCTGGGGGGTAAGGGTGGTGGTGGGGTATTTTTAATGGGTTAAAGTAAATAATAAAAAAAAGAAAATAGACAATGTCTATTTAGGGTGCTTTCACACCTGTAGATCAATTGTTTTGTTCTGTACCACAGGGATTCAGATTACATTGCTCTTTGTTCTTGGTGGGTTTCGCTTTCACATGGAGCAAAAGCATTTAGGATGTGTCCAAATCCACTTTTGCTTTTTTAAGCATAGAAAATTACCATCGTGGTGCATGGTCTAACAGGGTTGAGCTTATTCTCTTTATGAGTTATGTGTGTTTTGAGAATAAACCAATCAGAGTCTCATCTCCCATTCCCTTTAAGAGTCAGTTGCGTGGCACCATGGCGCATTTGCTATTTACATGGCGGACTTTATAAGTGGAAAAACTTAACGCTTCACTTGTGAGAAAACAGTTAAAGAATAAAGAATGAGCCTCCTCCAGTCGGCCTTTAATTTCACTTTCTCTTACTCTCTTTCGTGGATGAGAAAGCAATGTTGTACACACTCCGCTGAAGACATCCATTAGCCTACATAATTAATTTCCTTTGTTAAGCTCAAAGATTTGGTCAAAACTATTCCTAAATTCAGTTCTAATTTCCAGCAAATTAATAAATGAACAGTAATAATGAAGTGTGGTCAAAAAACTGAGTTTTATCCAAATACACATGCTGTGCCCCATATGGTCTAAAACCTGACAGGTGGGCAAATCTAAGCTTGTTTTTAATTAAACAAATATAAATATGCACATAATAAATACTACTGCTACTAATAATAACATTATATCAAAGCAAGTTGTCATGAATAAACTGAAAAAAAAAGCAGAGAAGAAGATGGCATGATGGTAAACGTTTTTATATTTAAAATAATAAAAGTATAAGAGTAATAATATTGTAATATTTTAATCATTTAATTATTTTTCATTTGTAAAGATATTTGCGTATTGCTGTATATCCTGTGTGTTCTAAGCAATGTGTAAGCGAGGCGCACAACTGACGCGCTCTGCGCTGGAATTTAAACCTGCTTTCAGCTGGTCTATTGCACAGTCTATTTTAGTTCCTCAAAATGGCAACGTGCCAACAACGTGACTAAACACACCTCTTTTCTAGATCTGGGTTTTCTAACACCCATGAGTCAACAAAGTGGCACAAATCGATTTGCTGCTTAAACAACATTGCAGAAAATGGAAAAATTAAGGTTGCATTGGTTTGAAAATAGCAAAAACTTGCGGTAAACATGTCTTGCGCCTTATTGCACCAGGTGTATAATAGGGCCTTGTGTGTGGGAAACACTGAATATGTATTTTTGTTCACTTAATTATTATTATTATTATTATTATTATTATTATTATTATTATTATTTTTATTTTAGATAAAGATCAGTGCAAACTATTTTCCAGACCTCCCCAGATATGTAGTTTTAACATCAAGTTCATATAGTTCAGACATGTATTAGGAAGGTCAAACCCTCCACAAGCTCCCTGTAATTCACTCCCTGCCTATATTAAATGTGGTTGTTACTCTTGAAATTTGCAGTGTGTTCATCCCCAGAGTGCTGGAAGATTTTACTGCAGTTTTCCCCCCAATTCATGAGTACATAATATCTGTGGTAAACAATGCTTGCATATTTGATGTACAACATAAACAGCACACACTCAACACACACACACACAAAAAAAAAGACTTACGAAGTAGCATATGTCATTAAAAATAAACATCAGCTTCAGAATTTACATTTCCAGCATGGCTGTTTGTAATTCATTCATTTCGTAGAGCAAAAATGTCAAAATATAGTCAAGTTATGCGCCAAAGCCATGGGCACAAGCCCTTAATTTACACATTAATTGAAACCCCCCCACTATAACCCATAGGAAAAGCTTAGGGGGAACCAGAAACAAATTGTACTTCTGGATTCTGACGTCATATCGGCTGGGATGACGAATATAATTTCCAGTTCTTCCTGCTGGTTTTTGAAAATTTGGTTGCTGCTCACTAGCAAAACATAATCAATAAAGCAGCCTGACCTAAACGGTGTGAAATTGGAATAAAGAAGTAATTTTTATTACCTGGTTTGCACTCGTAGAGATCACAGCACTCGCCGGGTTTGCCTGAACTCTTGGATACCAAAATGTTGAGGTGGCCGGGCTGGCAGACCTTCCTCAGACACCCAGCCGGGCTACACACACAGCGGCTGGGCAACGGGCAACATTCACCTGGCGGAGCGTAGCCCTCGATTAATATTGAGTCTTCAGGACAACGTGGAGAAAACTGCACCTCACATCTCGCCTTGGAACAGTCCGGCCTTTCCTCTACAAAGAAGAAAGAGGAGAAGTTAGTAAAAAAAAAGTATAAACTGGTGAGTAAATAATGCAGAATTACTTACACATAACTATTTGCAATTGAAATGTGGTTTAAATTGAATTGTAAACATGACCATCAGACTCTTGCTTATGTAAGTGACACACAATTTGATGTCATTTATCAAAACAAGCTATTAAAAAGCATCTGTCATACATCACATATCAGGTTTTACCTCAACACTCCATATAGTGATACAAATTTCTCACAATACACCCACAAAACCAAAATATGAGGTATTTTTCTTCTTGTTTTTTTTTTGACAGGTAGTTTTTCACTTAGAGTCAGGCTAGTTTGTCATGTATATGAGCACATATGACACATTGACATGCTGTTTGCCATAAATATGAATGGGATTTTTTTTTTTTTGGGAAGTTTGTAGTCTGTAATATTGCACCTAGTCTCTATTTATTTTAACAACACATAAAAAAACAGTTCTACTATTATTTTTGTAGTCCTTCTGGGAAATTTTTATTCTTTTTAAAATATTTAAAAGTGTTGTTTAATGTTGTTTAATGTGTTTTTCAACACATTTTTAATTAATAATTTTAATAAATGATTTATAATAGTTTTAATAGTTTGTCATAATGATAGTACAATATTTTACTAGTAATTTTGCAAGATACTATGTATTCAAGTGCAATGTAAAACCTTAACTAGATTAAAGGTCCCATGAAATTAAAATTAGTAATCTTATTGTTAGTTTTTAGAATGTCTATATTCCAGTGCACACCAAAACAGTGAAAAAATTTAAATTTAGAAGACATAAAATCGATATAAATACGTAAAGCTTGTGCTTGTGCTCGTCACTTCAGCCTAAACGGACCAATCAAACACTCTCTAGTGTCTGAAATGCCCCGCCCCTTCTTCTCATTGGCTTTTCATTAGATGTTCTTGAGCTTAACCATTCTCACTGTCTGAGCGGTGATAATAACAAAACTTAATTTTTTGAAGGGGAGGAGCTACACTATATCCCGCCCTCTTTTCATGTTTCAGTTGAGATTTTGTCAAATGTCATGTTCACCAGCGATCAAACCACCAGAGGTCGCAGGTACACACTCACATCCACATGAACTACAAATCTGCTGATAAATGGACTACAAGAACCAGTCATGCTCCACACACACTGGTTCCAGATCCTGACTGATTGCATACACACATATATACAGCTCACTTTGAAACCCTCATTGCTGAGTCTTGTTCATCTGTATAGTGACATTAAAATGTGTTTTCCTATAGTCTTGTTTTTCTGTGTTTTGACCTTAGCCTTGTTAGCCTTTTTGTCTTAGTCTGCCGCCTGCCTTGCGATCTCTCGCCTGTTATTTGACTACGATTCTGGACTGTCTCTATACATCTGTTTGCACCTGTATTGACCATTGTTTGCCTGACTCCGAATAAACCTGCATGTGGATCCAAACCTCAGTTGTCAGTGTCACTCCCCGAGTTACATCAAACATCAAATAAAAAAATGCACATTTCAAAGCACTTCACGGGACCTCTAAGTTAACTAGGCAAGTTCTTTAGCAAATCGAGAAAAAAAAATGGGGATAATGATATTGACCTCAGAACTATAAAACACTTCATAGGAAACACTGTTGAAAAAGTGGATTGCTCTGTTGAACATCACTTAACAAATGAACAAAATAATAAATTCACAATAGGGATAATAATTTTGCCATCAGTTGTACTGTATGCTGAAATTAATGTTGCTTAAATATATTTTTTTATAAAAAAAAGTGACGTACACTTTAGAAATAATTAAGTTTGTGCAATGAAAAACCGTATATATTTTTATTTACATCGTGAGATGGCGGAGCGCGAGAACAGTTTGAAGTAATATAGGCCCATGTGCGCCACGTCAGCTTTTTTAAATAAACGAAAATATTAAGCTATGATGTATTTCTGCATTGTATTGTTTTTTTGTTATTAATTTATTTTTATTTAAAGTTTAATATTTATTTAATTGTTTATTGTTAACAATTTATTGTTATTGCCTATATCTTAAGACAGTCCATGTATTGTACATTGTTCATACTGTATTTTCTGTTTTTAAATAATAATAATAACAACAACAACAACAACACTAACAATACCAATAATAATAAACTTGAAAGAAATGCTTAATATTAAGCTGAAGTTTCTGTTACTGTATTAAAACTAAGATAAAGGAATCAGATCTTTAGTGGTTTAAATCGATATGATTGAGTCCGTTCTTCCACTTTTTGAGAAATATAAATCACAACTTTTGATTTTTAATACTAACACTGAAAAAATCTCCTTAGAAATGAGAAGCTTTTGTTGTGTATCTTCAAGTAAAATAAAAATCTATAATATGATGTTCACAATCCAAATTTTAAAAAATCATATTACTCAACATTGTTAAATATGGACTTATTTGGTTCTTTGTCTCAAGGTCTCAATCGAAGAATCAAAAGTTAAAGAGAACAGCATTTATTTAAAATGTCTTAGATTTTCTCCACTGATGATCAGTTTAAATAATTATCGTTCATATAAAAGTGTCTAATTCTGAATAAATAGAAAAACTTGCATTTTTTGAAATGTAAAAATAAATACAATATTACAAAATTACAATATTTTTATATATATATAAAAAATATATATATATATATATATTTGTGGTCATGCAGTAAACTACAACCATTCTGGAAAAATATATTTAAATTTCTTTCTGAAGTGTACTCAACGAATCTGGAAATCGATCCTAGTATTGGTCTTTTAGGAGCAGAGTACAGTCCTTGCAGTAGAAACCAAACACAAGCAATTCTATTTTGTATGTGTCTTGCAAAAAAACTCATTTTACAAATGTGGAAATCTGATGCTGTCCCCACCTTTGAAATGTGGGCTAGAGAACTTGGAAATATGTTACACTTAGAAGAACTGAGATTCATACTAAATGACAAATTGTCCATTTTTAACAAGATTTGGGAACCATTCATATTATTTTTGCAGACAGACTGAACTGATAGACTTACAAGACTGTTGTATGTTAATTTATCTATTTATCTTATTTCATTCTTTATTTTATAATTATCTTATAATTTTTTTATAATGTCTCTTTTGGTTTCATTGTCCATGTACGCCTTGACTCAATTTAAAATTTTTGTCCCAGCCGGATCTATATATGATTGTAAATGTTATGCATATATGCCTTTTATTTTTATGAACCTTCCACAAATATTTTGATCAATGTTAAATGGGTGGGGTGGGTGGTAGGGTTTTGCGTTCCTTTTTGTAGTAAGTTAAATTCACTGTAAGTACTACCAAAAGAATTTTGATGGTATATTTCTTTGTAAGAACTCAGGCTGTACTGTATGTAATGTATTAAGGTTTTTTCAATGAAAATGAAAATAAAGAGTTAAAAAAAAAAAAAAAAATAAAAAAAAAAAAAATATATATATATATATATATATATATATATATATAAAAATAGCGTGTAAGACCTTTATAGTATAGAACTAATATTTATATTAACACTCTACTTAAATCTATGTGTACTAAATCCAGTAAACTGAGATAACCTGAGAATTTTCCCTAGTACACACATATCTCAGATCATTTTAGGTAATCTGAAAAAAGCGTATTGAAAGTAGACCAGACAGACGTTCCACTAGCTTAAACAGACAGACGATGGGCAGCTGCTCCCTTATTCTGAACCCAATATTGACCATGCGGGCAAAAGTCCGCCGTTTTATGAACAACATTCAATTTGACCTTCCTTCATTCAAGGCATGATTGCTTTTATTCGCTCTTTACAAGAGAACAACAAGCTAACAAAGGAGGATGCCGGAGAAATTGAAAAGGTGCATGGGAGAGACATAAAAAGAACCGCAGAAAAAAAACTCATGCTGATGTGAATGTGAATGAATGGCAAATGTCAGCAGGAGAGAAACGGCTGGCATGCTGTAATGCTTGTGTGCTGTCTGATAACACTTGGCAGAGGAGTGTGGAACAACTCGAGACGCGGCGCTACATGTTAAAACACAGGAGGCAACATTAATACAGCCACGGCATCTGGAGTATGTAAACATAGTAGACTAATTTGGGCAATACTGCAATTTCTACAGTGCATCAATGTACCGCATGCCATCTTAAAGAGACGGCTCAAAAATAAATATTTTTGTAAGGAGCTACTCACTTTAACACTTTAGCTACTGTATTGCAGGCGATATGAGCCAAAAAAGTCAAAATAACTTATAATACTCTTTTCTTTGTCATGCAGATAAGTGTTAAAAACTGTTAAAGTGCTTCTATTATTTGTGCACACCCATAATGAAAACGAATGTTGGGTTTTTTGCGAACTAATACATGAAAAATTGATGATGATATCTCATTTATCCATTTTTCTTAGGCTTAGTCAGGGGTTGCCACAGTGGAATGAACCACCAACTATTCCAGCATATTTTTTTCATGCAGCAAATACCCTTCCAGCTGCAACCCAATACTGGAAGCATGATCTCCAATCTAAAATATGTCAGAAAATGAGCAGTACCTCAGCGAATAATTTTCACGCAAACCTATACCTCGAGTCTGCTGAACGATTGGTATGTCTGTCTTTTAAATGTTGAAATTTAACAGTAAAACAAACATTCTTAGATTAACTATGTGTTTCTGTGAGACACAAAAAGAGTATAGACACCCATGGTTATCATCTGCGAAATTGTATTAAAATGAACAGCACTGACATTCTGCTAAATAGCTTCTTTTAGGTTTAATGGCAGAAAACAAAAAATCTAATTCATTTACATGACAACAGCATTTTTGGCACTGTAAATGATTTTCAAAGTGCGTTTTTTTTTTTTTTTTTAATACCTTGTCGGTTTAAACATCATAATACACACATAACACAACACTTTTGTCATAATTGTTTAGTCATTAATCCAAATGTTTATCTGTAAACATTTTTAAAAAATGCAAATGATAAAATGTTTTT